CGATGATGGCCGCGTCTTTTGAAACTGGATAGTTTTAATGAATAACAAAGCTATATTAGAATAAGGTCAATCCTGTTAAAAAGCCATACTAAATTAGCTTTCTATAATGTGCCCTTCTCCATTTTAATTTTCTTTTTTTATTATGTACACGTAGTTTAATCAACCTTGTACTAATTGATATTGAACAACTAATGTATTATCTCAAAAGGTTGAGTTTGATCGTCCGGGTGAACGTAGTCCTGAATAGGACTGTTGTTGTTGACAGTGACTGACGTTTCGACAACCTGTGCGGTAGTCATCTTCAGAGTCAAAGTGAGTTGTATCACGTCAGTTGATGGTATTATACTCTGGTTATTGATCTGATTGGTCAATTATGTCGCGATGTTATTGGTCGTCTGTCAGTTAAGCCGTGATGTTATTGGCTATGAAGACTCGTAATCAGTAATTGGTGCGTTTCGATCCGTCTATTGTCACAGTTAAACAGTCGTCTATTGTTAGTCAAATTGTCAGTTCTCCAGTTGTTCTCTCGTAGTTAGTTTTGCTTGATCTCGTCAATAAGTCGTTTGTACGGCGCTGGTAACTGTTGGCTACGATTCAGTGGCGTTTGTTCTAAGTTAGTAAACCAGCTTTCTAAAGTAAGACATTGATAGTAGTCTGTAGAATACGTTATACATGTCGCAGAGTCCCAGTCAATTTGATGTTTCGTCTTTAAATGGTGCTCAGCAATGTGATTGTTGACGTCACCATTACTCGTCGCGCGTTTGTGTTCGGTCAATCGCGTGCTATTAAGAACTCTACTGTTGAACTACTACTACCTACAGACGACATTATGGACCTACTCAACCTCTGTTTGACTTCGACGTACTTTCAGTACAACGGCAAACACTACAAACAGTTACACGGTACAGCTATGGGCTCTCCAGTTTCTGTTGTTGTAGCAGAAATTGTAATGCAAAACATCGAGGAACAAGCCCTAGCTACCTACACGCGAACTGTACCTCTTTGGTTACGTTACGTTGACGACACATTCACCTCCGTACACAAAGACGGAATTGACGATTTTCACGAACACCTTAACAGACAGAACGCGGACATACAGTTCACCAAGGAGATCGAAGAAAATGGTAAGATACCTTTTCTAGACTGCTTGGTCACTCGCGACAACAACAAACTAAAAACGACTATTTACAGAAAACCGACACATACCGACCGATTACTAGACCAGTCTTCGTACAACCCGACCTCTCACAAGGCTACTACTATCCGGACTCTGACGAGACGAGCGCAACTACAACCACAAATTTACACATAACACATAATTATGCGAATATTTAGACACAATCAACCAATCAAAATCACTACTCGCTTTTCGGGTAGTAGTGACGTCACTGGCCGGCGTTAACAGCTGGTCGATTCAGACGTTGCTGAGAGGAGAAAACGACTCGAAGCAATCGGATAAAATTCAAGCTAGGTGATCCATTTGAAAGACAAATAAAAGAAATAAAAAGTTAATCGGTTGCCCAATCCGCCGTGCGTAAGGATCAATTTTCTTAACTCATATCCAAGTTGAGTTTTTTAGCTGATATTACTTTGTTGTCAATTGATAATTATATAAAAGCCTAATGCCTGTAATGCGACACCAGCTCGTACGTAATTTAGTAACTTTTGCCTTTCTTTTTTCTGTACATTTTTGCGGCTTTCCGAGTTGCCTGGGTATGAAGAAAGACCGCAGATTGCAAAATGATATCCGTAGAATGATTCGGAGGGTTAAAATGGTAGCGTTCCGGTTTTGATGCACATTTCGTATAACAGGTTCGCGGAAACGGTAGCTTAGTTTCCACCTGTGATACGCCTATGTAAACTTCTCTACACAGTGAGCTGATTTGCAAAAATGCATGCAAAACGTATGGCACTCTTAATACTCACGGAATCAATGAACGCTTTTCATTCAACGATTTACTCTTGTTGTAGTTCCGGTATGTTACCATGAGGAGACAGCGTGGCTGAGTAGTCAGCTCGTCGGACTCTCCAATCCAGCGATTCCACCTCTGACCACAAGCTGAGTATGTTTCCGGTCGTCCTGAGTTTAAATCATCTGCCATGCTTGAAATTACGCGACTGGTTGCCTTCTGCCAGCTCCTGTTAGGTTATATTTGTGTTGTTTGCTTGAAATTATTTGAGAGAAGCTAAGAATTTTTTTCCATGTTCCCATTCCTAGAATGACACCACAATTATGTAAGCCACACACAATCCACGATCCCTTGATTCGATCTGACCAAGGGCTAGAGCTCAAGACGACAGTTTTTGACCCCTTACCGGAGTTAAATTGGCTATTTCCAACTCAGTTAAAAGAAGCAAACTTTTATGTTCTCCAGCAGATCTGAGTATTACACTGCTGCAAGAGTATCATGTACAGTGCTTCAAATGCTATTAATAAATAATTTTTTATTCGTTACTTTAAATTAGAGAAACTTAAAATAAAATTAAAAATAAATAAAATAGTTGCTTACTTTAAAGTATTCACACAGTAGGAGTAAGTACTCTGGAAAGACGTTTCTCTCTCAATCCGCGGCATGATGAGATAAAATTAATCTGAATGCTTACAAAATAGCCAGTTGGGTTCATTAGATGTGATAATACAGTTTATTTCTTTTGATAACTGTCGTGAACACGGGATGTTAGGATGTTAGGTTCTATTTTAGTAAAAACCATATGTGTTATGGAAGAATAGCTTGGATAATATTAATAGTAAAAAGTTAGTTTTCATCTTCAATTTTTCAGTTACACAGACAACTTAGCAGTACATCACCGAGGATCTGCATTTTCCTCCACCACTGAGCGATGGCTGCATCTTCTGGCCAACTCCAAAATGTGAAAGAAACACGGAACGTCAACAGTCCGACTTCTCACGAGGTTTTCTGTTTTCACATGTTTTATAAAAAGCCTTAATCAGTCTGAAACCTTGACTGGCGCAATAATGTTTAATAGTAAGGGGCAGATATGATGGGGTACAAAAACAAGACCATAGTAACAATATGAAGTATCTTTCTTCGGTGAATTTATTGATTATGGTTCCTCGGTTTCCTGGATTGAAACACGAAACAATTCCAAGCTTTTACGCACAGACGGAGTTTGTTTGTTTGTTTTCAAATGCAAACCTGTTGAAGGAAGTATGTATTATATCTTTTGTAGTAATGCTTCACTTGACTCGTAAGCTTTCATTTTTTTTAGTAAAACGTTATAGGCAAATTTGTGGCAAATTTTTCTCCCAAAATAGTTTCAGGCCTAACGGAGTAAGGGATTATAGAAATAACCCATAGTTTTGGCTAAATCTTAACTTTGGCAAAGTATTGTTCGGGATGTTTGCGTGTGACCTTAATTTAGGGCAAGGAACAGTAACAACAACAACAACAACAAATTCTATTGAAAATTGGAAAATAACTAATTACGTTACTTTCCCACCCGCAAATAGCTTATAAACTAATCGAGGCGGGGGGAGCTTAAGACATATTACAAAACAAGATTTATATATAGATAACATAACATAACATACATGTTTATTCAAACTCATAATAACTACATGAATTTGAAAGGGAGAGTCTAGAGGTTAACCCTATGAATAAAACTCTCCTAAAAACAACAAACAAACAATAAAAATTACAACTTTAAAAAGGATTTGAGTTTACATTTAAAAAGTTCAAGGGAACCGGCTTCAACAACATTACTAGGTAAATTGTTCCAATAACTAACTACATTGTTAAAAAAAGAATAAATAATAGATGGACTATTAATAACAGTGAAGACACTATTAGTAATGGTAACAGGACTTAGTGGAGTCCAGTTCGGTCTCTAATCATAACTATAACACAATTGTCAAATCTGATTGGCTCTCAACTGCCCTGATTTCAGCCTTAATTGGACAGTTTAATAGGACAGTACGCGTCATGCCTAAGTAATTGGACAGTACGCGCCATCACGCACGCGCTTAAATGGCTTTTTTTTTCACTGCTAGCAAAACAAAATTTCGAATTTCTTGTGTTTTGGTTTAAAAAATAGCCTATTGTATCACAAATTTTGTTAAAGTTATGATTAATTGGTAACAGAACCTCGTGTCGTCCAATTCAGTCTGTAATCATACTAGTGATTAAACAAATCGGACTCCCGCTACGCGGTCGTCCGATTTTGTTAATGACTCGTATGATTACAGACCGAATTGCACTCCACTCAGTCCTGTTACCATTACTAATCATACGAGTGATTAACAAAATCGGACGACCGCGTAGCGGGAGTCCGATTTGTTTAATCACGAGTATGATTACAGACCGAATTGGACGACACGAAGTTCTGTTACCAATAAATCATAACTTTAACAAAATTTGTGATATATTAGGCTCATTTTTTTAATCAAAACACAAGAAACTCCGAGATTTCTTTTGCTAGCAGTGAAAAAAAAAGGCCATTTAAGCGCGCGCGTGATGGCGTGTACTGTCCTAGGCACTTAGGCATGACGCGTACTGTCCTATTTAACTGTCCTATTAAGGCTGAAATCAGGGCAGTTGATAGTTGAATTTTGTTGTAGTTATGACTATACAGTAAATAGAATTTAAACTAACATAAAAAGCTATAAAACAAGGCAAGTACATAACGATTACGAAGAGAGGCTAACCTAAAGTATTAAATAACTTAATAAGACGGAAGACTTCGACATAATCATCTTCTGACCGCAAGAAACTTAGTAATAATTCCTTTATTTTTTTACGAAAGGAATTCAAGGCTGTGAGATTTTTCTTTAGCAGAAGGGGCGGCACTGCTGCGTTGTTGTTGAAATAAATCTTTTAGTCTTGAAATCTCCTCCGTTAATGTTGAAACTTTAGATTTGAGATCGTTATTTTCTCTCTTTAGGTTGGCAATAGACTCAGGCATAATATGACACACGAAACAAGATAACAAAACAAATAGAAAAAAGCAGAAGGAACACTTAAACATCAGAAATTTACGAAATGTTACGCGGAGGACTTAAACACACGGCCGTCCATCTTAACCACATTACAGTTCTCCTATGCTTTTCTTTTTGGATAGTGAAAGGCTGACAAGACAAGTAGACGTTGTTTGCGAAACAGAATTTACCCTAAGAATTTAAAAACAAAATATGTTCTAAATTCTGCCTTTTGAAACGATTAGAACAGGAAATTAACACATATTTTAAATTTCGTGCTGTAACTGTCACTGTTTGTTTGTTTCTGAAGACAATTTCAAACTTTTAAAGTACAACTCGCAAGTTAAAACCCACCAAGTCCACTATTTTATGGTTTTTCTGACAATTAACAATGTAAAATTCGCCAGCATTTTCAAGTGGCTTTTCGTTCTCATTACTATAATTCTTTCCTTCAGACTAGCTTTTTTAAAAGCGGAAATGAAACCATACCACAGAAAGCAACTGGACAGGGTTCGTTATCTGCTACCAGCGGAACCTTGAACGTTACTCTTCTTGGTGATGAATGGGGTTCATCTGCTGGTGGGTTGTCAACAATAAACAGAGAGCTTGCTATTCACCTTTCCCAGCAGTCAGGAGTAAATGTATCTCTATTGTGTCCAGAAAAAGCTTGCAGCACTGAAGAAATAAGAGAAGCTGATGGCTATGGAATCACCATTGTTGAGGCGAAAGAACGTGCAGCATATGACCGTCTTGATTGGTTGAGCATCCCACCCCAGGACCACTTGATGGACATCGTTGTTGGTCATGGTGTTAAACTTGGTCGGCAAGTACAGTTCATCAGAGAATCTGCTCGATTTCCAAATTGCAAGTGGGTACAAGTGGTTCACACTGCTCCAGAGGACCTGAGCAGATACAAATGCTACAGTGACCCCATTTCAAAAGGTGAAACAAAACAAGAATCAGAAGTTGAACTTTGCAGACTTGCTGACATTGTTGTGCCTGTGGGACCCAGACTTAAAGAAGCATACTCTTCATATTTGCAGCGATGTAAGACAGATCACGAAGTTTTGTCCATTACTCCAGGCCTTTTCCAAAGGGAGTTTGGGGATTTAACGCAAACCACTAATGAGAATGCTGAATTTAAAGTACTGCTAATTGGTCGTGGAGATGTTGAGGACTTTGAACTGAAGGGTTACAACATTGCTGCTCAAACATTTACTGATCAACGGCTAAAAAACAAACCTTACCATCTAATATTTGTCGGAGCGCCTGAAGGAAAGCAAGGAGACGTTAGAGACAAACTTCGTCAACGTGGTATTGCGGAAGCACAGTTGACTGTGAGAAAATTTGTACAATGTAGAGAGAGACTGAAAGATTTGTTGTGTGAAGTTGACCTTGCCATCATGCCATCAAAATCGGAGGGATTTGGTCTTGTCGCACTTGAGGCCTTGTCTGCAGGTTTACCCATTCTTGTTGGTTGTAAGTCAGGATTTGCCAAAACATTAGAAAATGTTCCAAATGGTTATTCATGCATCGTCAATTCAGATGATCCAGCAGAGTGGGCAAAAGCAATAGAAGCTGTTCGTGTCAGGCATCGAATGCGGTTGGAAGAGATTAAAGCACTAAGAACCTCGTATGGGGAGATGTACAGTTGGAAGGAGCAATGTGAAGCCCTTGTGAACAGACTCTGGAAAATGAGTCATGGTACGAAATATACCCTTTTACAATCCTAAACGATTACTTTCCTAAGAAATCACCTTCCAGTGTTGTTATATAAAATGCTACTGAAGGACACCATTCAAAGACAGTAAGTTTTATGCCGGGCAGTGACAATAATGCCAAAATAAAATTGGCTACTTGAAATTTTGAGATGCCTGCTTTTCCTTTATAATAATGTACCTCAAAGCCTGAAAGAGCTGACTGTATAACCGGATAGGAACCGTTTTGGAATGTAATCCATCGAATCGACTCTGAATTCCTATTGCTTCTTGAGCTTAAATGTTTTGTGCACACCTTTTAAAATTGTATTGGAAGTTGTCAAAGTGGATTTAAATACATGAAAAGCTCTATGACTTTTAGAATGAGGGTCTCCACAACATTAAAGGAACACAGTTGTCGTCACGGACTTGGTTCCTCATGGGTGGTTGTGGGTGGTGGAGATGTGAATGGCTTACAAAAACGTATATACATTATTTTGTAAAAAGCTTGTATTAAATGCTTGTTCTATGAACAGTTCGGTACTAAGCCATTGTTCAGATCCGGGAATGCTGGGTTTTGTAAATTGATTATTAACTATACCTCAATATAACGAACATTTTTGTTGTCTTCTCGAAAATTCGTTAAATCGAGGTGTTCGATATAACGAACCCTCGATACAACTAACAAATTTCCCCAATCCCTTGCCACTTCGTTAAATCGAGGTTCTACTGTAATCGCCGACTGTTTTCGTCCATTTTTTTCACAGAGGCGGATTCTTTAAAGGCCGCGAACTCCTTGGAAACAAAGCGCCAGGCTTTTCATGGGACGGAAAGCATAACAGTGGACCATAAAGGTATTGTGAAAGACTTATAATCAATGAAATCACGGGTGATGTTGCCTATGAACGAGTGTTCATCAGCAAAAGGGATTCTGTGTGGTACATACCTGTACATGCATAAGTACACATAACTTTACACACGTAATTGATACATGTATAAGATGTGGTTTAAACGTTGGACATCACATGTGCCGGACTGAATGCATAAACTATTTTACTACTAAATAAATATAGCAGTACACGGTGCTCTTCCTTTTCATCTATCGAGCCATCTGGGAAGAATAATTAAAGCACATTCACAATATCAATCTTCATATACACACTACCTCGTTGCTGAAAAGTTTTAACGTTTTTTACCTATATTTAAACTGAAGTAGTGGAAATTGTGAAATTACTCAATAAAAAAATTCCCCACCTCTTAGCAGACCTTTGATGAAAATATTCCACACTGACTGACTGAGCCTTATGTTTCAATGAAATTATTTTTTGTAACCATGGTTTGTTTTCGCAGAGCCTTTTATGGAAAATGACAGTAAGCCAAGAATGTTCTCCCATGTTGGCGAGAAGCTCGTTTCAGAAACGTCTGTTGATAGTAACTGTCAGAAAAAAACTGATGCTGTACCAGGAAATCAAACTAAAATATTTACAGTTAACGTCTCTCAGTCTCAAAACAGCCGTAAGCGTAAAAATTCAGAATCTTCTGGTGATCCAGGTAAACAATAACATGATTTGTTTTCCTTGCTATTGTCTACTAGTTTATCTGTAAAGAATAGAGTAATTGTTAGGTTACCCAAAGGTGCATTTTTCCACAGAACTTGTTACCGTTACACTGTAATAGTATAGTGTATGTAGTGTAATTCATTACCCATTTTATTTACCAACTCTGGTTTAACACCACATTTTATCCTGGATTCCGAGAATACTTCAAATCTTGTAGCCTTAGAAAACAGCCGACGTGTCACTACCGTGACATCAGTATGGAACTAATTTCCGTGTTCGTTCTGTTTCTCAGACGTCATTTCGTAAAGGAACAAGGCCGGGGTGTCGTCGCGAAATGTCGGCTGTTTTCTGAGGGTACAAATCTGGGAACCAATGCAAGGTGTTGACTTTCGAGCGATGTATAGTATTCTAGAATACATTTCTCGCGATATTTTGGGTTTCATTAATAAAGACATTTATTTCTCGGCGCGTTTTCTATGTTTCAGAAATTACTACAAAGCATTTTTTTCAAGACCTTAATGATGAAAAGAGTAAAGTAGTCCACGATACTTTACAACGACAAATACAATTGTACTTCCAACATCGTATCATTGCAACCCCAGAAGGAGTGTCTGGCCTGATTGAATATATAAAGGGAACGCACAACATGGCCTTGCAATCTGTGGGTATAGGATCTCTAGAAATGACATTTCGGTGCCCCTCCTTGGAGAGCCTTGAAAGTTTGTGGAGTGACTATCAGTCTGGTCACCTTAATGACGTTGCCGAGAGATACCTTGTGACTGATGACATAAAGAAGAAACTGAACTTGGAGAGTATCGGGCTGGAGACAACTATTGAAGAAGAAAACTACCTGATTTGTAAGGAACTTCTATTGGAAAAATCATGTAAGCCTGAAAGCTCTTTATAAGAAATTGACTTCAATTTAAACTATTAAACCTAGAAGTTCTCATTGAGAAGGGAAGTACTGCCGTTAGTTGCGATGCGAATAGGACAAAGGCAGTATGTAAAACAGTTTAACATATGAATTTTTAACTTAGACTTGTTAGAATTATGAAGCACTCAGAGCGAAATATAAAAAATGAACCGAACACAAATGACAAATATCCTTACATTCAGATAACTCGTTTCAATATGATTTTGTAATTCATTTTAATCATTCACTAAATGCTAAAACAACGACAGTGCTGATAGGCTGTTTCTTTATCGAACAACCCATGTAATCTTTGGTCGCATCGCTGACGATCATCGCACACATAGCGAGGAGAGTTGTGAAGGCCAGAACTTGTTAATTCACAGGTCAGGTAGACGTACAGCACATGCCGTTCACCTATTTAACTTACAATCCTGATTCCCGAGATAACGATCTGTGTGACAAAAGAATAGTGTACTCGCTATAACTAATCTTGAAAAATATAAACCGAGAAAAAAAATGTTCAGTACAATACTTCTTGAACTGTTCTTACCGTTTGGGCCGTTAAAAAGGCAGCAAACATCCGATGGACTACGATTTCTGGCGCACTGATCTTATTTAAATACCGGGAACAAAACAAAATGGCGGGTTACTCCTAAGAGAAAAACAGGCGCCGCAGCTACGCACTTGCCTTAAACAAACCGCCCACTGCAAAGCGCTACAGTCACAGACTGATTGAACATCGAACCATTGAACCAAAAATCTCAAATCGCTCAAGAATATGGTCTGCTGCCGGCTAATGTCCGGCAGCAACAATTGAAAACTGAAATCAGTGACCTGAGAATACAATTTGCTCACAGAAGGCCACAATAGACCTTTTTACGGATTCGGCGGCCATATTGAATTAATTCGATTTAAGGAGTATTATAGGATGCCCAGGGGGCATTAGCACATTTCGTTTGTATTTTCGAGCGCTTTTAAGGACATTTTTTCTTAAAGTTTTCTTAGAATAAGATTGTAATGGGAAAAAAGATCTTTGTACCGCGTTTGGATGTAATAATGATAGCCTTTTTTTCCGAGAAATATACAGTGAAAGATTATATTTCTAATACTAAACTAGAAAAAGGCGACCATTAGTACGTCCAAACACGGCACAAGGATCTTTTTTCCCATTACAATCTTATTCTAAGAAAACTTTGAGAAAAAATTTCCCGAAAAGCGCTCGAAAATACAAACGAAATGTGCTCATGCCCCCCGGGCATCCTATAATACTCCTCCAATCGAATTAATTCAATATGGCCGCCGTATCGGTAAAAAGGTCTACAGGTTACCTTCTCTACTTAAAACCCTGATAAAAATGCTGTTTTTTTGTTATAGCCTCTGCTGCATTTCTACAGCAGCTATCTTAGATCAAAAGAGTCATAGGTCAGTTGCAAGGGGGAGGGGGTCTTAAATATGCGAACGATAGAAAATCTCCCAAGTTTGTTATTACTTTCCTGAAACTGTTTGCAATAAATTGACAGTGCATGAGAAATTAGTTGACCTCGATAAAAATTCACGGCAAAGAAGAAATAAAAACGTTATGTTTACAGTGTATAATTGCTCTCAGTTGAATTCTTTGGATTCTCATATTTCCTCTCAAACTAGCCTTTAATATTTTAAAATCAGGCCAGCAAGTGAAACAGGTGAATGTTTGTATAGGGTTTACACTTTTCATGTTGCGTACAGTACTTTTACCTGCTGTGAGTATTATTTTTGTAACAGTACATTCACACTAGATGTTATTTAGTAGTGATTTGTCTCTTTCAGCCGAATCGGATCAAGAGACAGCTTCACTAACGATTGACAAAAGCCCAGATAAATGTGAGGTAGGCCGCTTTGTACATACGATTAAAACTGAAAATAGGTAAAGACCTAGAAGATAAAAAATCGAGCAGTGCGTCTTGGCTGGTTGTTAAAGTATCGAGCCCCATAGCTAAGAAAACTTCGTTATCTGTCCACAGCCAAAATTTTTAGTAGCCACTTTACACTGCAGTGTTAAGGGAATGGTAATGAAAATATGTTCATCGCGTCAGTCTTATTTTATGAGGGTTGTAATCTGCCTTTTTGTTTTTGCGCAAAGCGATCGCGAGCGGAGCCCCGTAGCTAAGAAAATTCGGTTGTTTATCCACAGCCAAAATTTTAGTAGTCACTTGACCGTACGTTTGCCCGTCTGTCTGTACCACAGGGAAAGCAATGTAAATTGTCACTCTCTCTGGCTAGTATGGGAGCCTGCAACCTGATATTGCACATATATGTTGTGGTGAATTGACAGCTGTCAAAACAGGGCATCCACTGATCGAATTTACTGATACTGATCAGTATCACATGACTATGTCGTGGGCTCAGTTGTCGACCCATCATGGACGGTAGGTACGTGGTGTAAGCATCATATAGTGGTTCCCCATTAGCTAATATATGGCATAAATTGCTCTCACTAGCATTACATCGCCCTACATAGCACTACATAGCCCTACATAGCACTACATAGCCCTACATAGCCCTACACAGCCCTACATAGCCCTACACAGCCCTACATAACCATACATAGCCCTACATAGCCCTACATAGCCATACATAGCCCTACATAGCCCTACATAGCCCTACATAGCCCTACACAGCCCTACACAGCCCTACATAGCCATACACAGCCATACATAGCCCTACATAGCCCTACATAGCCCTACATAGCCCTACACAGCCCTACACAGCCCTACACAGCCCTACATAGCCATACACAGCCATACATAGCCCTACATGGCCCTACATAGCCCTACATAGCCCTACATAGCCCTACATAGCCCTACACAGCCCTACACAGCCCTACATAGCCATACACAGCCATACATAGCCCTACATAACCATACATAGCCCTACATAGCCTACATAGCCCTACACAGCTCTACACAGCCCTACATAGCCATACACAGCCATACACAGCCCTACACAGCCATACATAGCCCTACATAGCCCTACATAGCCATACACAGCCATACACAGCCCTACACAGCCATACATAGCCCTACATAGCCATACATAGCCCTACATAGCCCTACATAGCCATACACAGCCCTACATAGCCCTACATAGCCATACACAGCCATACATAGCCATACACAGCCCTACACAGCCATACATAGCCCTACATAACCATACACAGCCCTACATAGCCATACATAGCCATACATAGCCCTACATAGCCCTACATAGCCATACACAGCCCTACATAGCCATACATAGCCCTACATAGCCATACATAGCCATACATAGCCATACATAGCCATACATAGCCCTACATAACCATACACAGCCCTACATAGCCATACATAGCCCTACATAGCCCTACATAGCCCTACATAGCCCTACATAGCCCTACATAGCCCTACATAGCCATACATAGCCCTACATAGCCATACACAGCCATACACAGCCATACATAGCCCTACATAGCCATACACAGCCATACATAGCCATACACAGCCCTACACAGCCATACATAGCCCTACATAACCATACACAGCCCTACATAGCCATACATAGCCATACATAGCCATACATAGCCCTACATAGCCCTACATAGCCATACATAGCCCTACATAACCATACATAGCCCTACATAGCCCTACACAGCCCTACATAGCCATACACAGCCCTACATAGCCATACATAGCCCTACATAGCCATACACAGCCCTACACAACCATACATAGCCCTACATAACCATACACAGCCCTACACAGCCATACATAGCCCTACACTGCCATACATAGCCCTACATAGCCATACATAGCCCTACATAGCCGTACATAGCCCTACATAGCCATACACAGCCATACATAGCCCTACATAGCCCTACATAGCCATACACAGCCCTACACAGCCATACATAGCCCTACATAACCATACATAGCCATACATAGCCCTACATAGCCATACATAGCCATACATAGCCCTACATAGCCATACATAGCCCTACATAACCATACATAGCCATACATAGCCCTACATAACCATACATAGCCCTACACAGCCCTACATAGCCCTACATAACCATACACAGCCCTACATAGCCCTACATAGCCATACACAGACCTACATAGCCCTACATAGCCCTACATAGCCCTACATAGCCCTACATAGCCATACATAGCCCTACACAGCCATACATAGCCCTACATAGCCATACTTAGCCCTACATAGCCCTACATAGCCCTACATAGCCATACACAGCCCTACACAGCCATACATAGCCCTACATAACCATACACAGCCCTACATAGCCATACATAGCCATACATAGCCATACATAGCCCTACATAGCCATACATAGCCCTACATAACCATACATAGCCCTACACAGCCCTACATAGCCCTACATAACCATACACAGCCCTACATAGCCCTACATAGCCATACACAGACCTACATAGCCATACATAGCCCTACATAGCCATACATAGCCATACATAGCCATACATAGCCATACACAGCCATACATAGCCATACATAGCCCTACATAGCCATACATAGCCCCTACACAGCCCTACATAGCCCTACATAACCATACATAGCCCGACATAACCATGCATAGCCCTACATAGCCCTACATAGCCCTACATAGCCATACATAGCCCTACATAGCCCCAGCTCTACACAGCCCCTACATAGCCATACACAGCCATACACAGCCCTACACAGCCCTACATAGCCCTACATAGCCATACATAGCCCTACATAGCCCTACTAACCATACAGCCCCACATAGCCCTAGCCATACATAGCCATACATATAGCCATACACAGCCATACACAGCCATACATAGCTTTACATATATATATATCGAACACAGGTAGCTGGAGACTGATGACCGCGGAAATTTGCGGGTTTTTACTCCCGCTCGAATTATAGATGGGTGTAATAAGACCACCCCATTAGGTCTCAGGCATGGTACAGGCATCAATATGTAAAGACTAGCTTTTACCATTTTACTTCTAATTTATCCGAAAATTGGCGGGGTTAAGAGATTCATTAGAATGAAGAGTTTGGAAATATTTCAGCCACTTTTTCTCTGAGATTGATAGGACATCCTCTCTCGTACATAACCCTACATACCCCGACAGATTTCAGGTATTAAGAAATTCAGTACATACTGGGAGATTTTAATTTTTAATTTTCTTTCAAATCCCTTAGAGGTTCACACTATCCATCTATTGGACTTCATGGTTGAATATTGATTGACACAATTCATCAAAGAACCTACAGAGTTTATGCCAAATCGTATACTCGTATTGATGTATTTATTACATGTACACCCCGGGGGTGACACTCTCATAAAATTGAAGGGGATGCTCATCGTTTCCCTTAGTGCTGTAAATTGCCGATTTTGGTGTCACCTAAAGTTATTTTAGACACTATATTTGATCATGTCTGTGCATAAACAAATTCCGTGACACTGACCTATAGATGTCTGTTTTAGTAGGGAAATCCACACCCCCGCTCGTCTCCTTAGGGGTTAGTAATTTAACTTTCCCACACCCCACCTAGTGATACACATCATCAGATCTTGATCGCTAAAACGCCGCATAATTGTCGACACCAATGGATGTGACTAAATAAAGCAACTAGTGATTCCACACCTAGCTGTGCAATAGACCCTTCGTTGTTCATTCTATTCTTCACCTTTTCATGAAGGGACAACTCCGCAAAGTCCGCTATAAAGTGCGGCTTTGAATTAGTTAAATCAGTCACTAGGTTTGAACGTGATTTCTTGTAAACTAACCAAGATGTAGCTTCTCGAAGGAACGAAATTTTAAGAAATCTTATGGCGAAATTTTAAATTTTTTTTTTGGGGGGGGGGAGGCAAACTTACCCGCCACCATACAAACATGACATATCACTTTAAAATTTGGCAGTCTTACTAACTTTGAGGCTTCTTTCTAGTAGTATTGACAGATTTTATCGTTACTGGTCCATGTCAAAATTGGAAAAAGCGTTGAAAGGGCTATCCACACACGTTCCACCGGGATGCGAACTTTGACAAATATAAAAAGCATTATCTGCGTGGTACAACCGGAATAGAAAAAAGTGATGGAGGGAGTTGTATCCGGCTGTTTTCGCTGTAATATAAATGGGCCCATGTCTGTAGCCTCCACTGTAGACGATCTTAGGTGTTTCGTCACGCGTTCCTCGGGCAGGAACGCATGACGAACCCCTAAAAACGTTTTCGGGGAGGCTACTATATCTGAGGCTGAGGGGTTATTTTTACTAACTCGGAATTTAGAGGCGTGTGCCGCCAGGGGTTCTTTCTGTAACGTTTGGGTTACGATTACTCGTGACTCGTTGAAATGGAAAACGGGTTGTAGATAGTTATTTATAAAATTCGCATTTGACAGTCGAACCGCATACTTTACTATTTGGGGTGGCAGAAAAACAAATCCAGACTTGTTTTTTTTATCAGGTGCTCCCAACGAGTGTTTTCGGCTAACTTCCTTCCCTAGGATATAATTTGGGCGTCATGGTTTCTCACACGATTATTCTTGAGTTCAGATGGTAGGGAAGGGAACAGAGCGGGAAAAAACGGCGAGAATGAACGTCCAAAGTTGCTTCATTAACCAACTCGGCTTTAAAAAGTTGCTTTATTATTGGTTTATTCAACAATCTAACTACTAAGTTGTAAAATAATCCTTAAAAAAATCCGTTTGCGTATTGATCGATCCTGAGTGACAAAATATTGCCACAATCGTGCTACAGTTTCACACAATATATCAACGTTTCTTCTTTGAAACGTCCGCTAAAACTTCAGAAACATCCTCAGGAAAATTAAGGCATGGGCCCCAAAATGATTCAGTCAAAAAAAGATGGGGGTGGTCTGTCTCTGACACTTAAGCACTAGAAAGATGAGACTTTGCCAGATACATGTGTGGTTTCTGTCAATTTGGTGTTTTCCAATCATACAAATGTTGTCACTCCATACTGTCAGAAACCAATAAAAAATCTTCCAACAAAAATGGCAACTCTGGTTGTTGTGAGTCATAACACCTAACTGGTTTAGGATAATGTGTAATTCAAGCACCTACAAAACTGTGCTTGGCCTTTTTTGAATTTTTTACTGTTCTAGAAAATAAACGGTTTTTTCAACTAGAAGCACAGAAGTGATAATATATTAAACGGCCTTAACATTATGCAACCGGTAAAAAAGTTGAGGACACACGAAAAAGCGTTGCCTTTTCAAGAGCAATCTTTTTCAGCCAGTGGAGGTCACGTTACCTAATTAGCACATTAAGCCGAAAAAAAAAACATTTTCAAATGGTATGAGGCATCACTCAAATGACAATTATAAAGGTGAACCTTTCTTAACAACTTTCTTTAAGGTCGCCCGAACCTTTTTATATGTGCGTTCGTTATGTTTTTGAATCGCGTTTCTCGGCAGCAATGAATTAACCGATTTCTATGATTTTGGCATCCTTAATAAAGAATGGTCCAACTTTAAGAAAAGGTTATTTATTTTCTTGAAGGTATAAACACGTTTGAGATATCGGCATATGGTTAAAACCCCATTTTACAAAAAAATGCCAATTATTTCGAAACCCGAAGACAGACAGATAACCAACGCGCATATAAATAGGTTTGGGCCACCTTAACAAGTTCAACATGTTGTGGACCACATAGGTTTTTACTTTGATTGAACTATATCTTTTCAGTAGCTTTAATGAAATAGATGAGACGGCACTGGATCAACGTTTTCTTCTTTGTCTCTTTCCTGTGCAATAAAATATGTGAAATTAGTGAAGTGGCTACTTGAACATTAACAAAAGTAGGTACTTGTGGCATCAATGTATTGTTTAACAGCAAGGAGCCTAAAAGAAAAGTTATAGGGGGGATGGAATTTTCGAGCCGCAATAATTTTTTTTCGTTATCAAATTCCTTGTATGAATATTTTTTAGGGTTAATTGGCGTGCAAGAATTTTTTTTCATATAATTTTCCCTATCGCGAATTTTTTTTTGTACTTCGCCCGCCCCCCAATAAGTTTTCTAATGGTCCGTCCCTAATTCACATTCTTCCTTCCAGACATTAACCAATCAGAAGTCGAGGACAGTTTCCAAAATTACGTGCAACAATTAACAGATTAAAATAATAAAAATAATAGTCGACGATTAATTCTTTTCAACAAATAAAAGTGCTGGTCAAACAAAAGCTGACGTTACCTGTTTGAACTCCAGGATGCTGAGCATATGCCAGAGACGAGACTTGGCGACTACCTGCCAGGGATTCAAGTAAAATATTCTGAGATATTGATTCTATTTCATAGCTTTTGTGGATGCTTGCTGTCTTTTATTTCCACTACTTTTGATAGAGCCATCCGAAAAAAAAATGACGTCCGAGAAGAAAGTGCATATGGTTGCAGTTACTTATAAATACGGTTTTAATTTAGGCAATGGAAGGAGTGTGTTCTGTAAAGTCTTGTTGCTTAAAGCTTAAAAAAGCAATTTAAAAATAAAGAACAGAAGATAGAGTAAGCGAGGAAAATGAAGACATTTGAACGAAGGTACAGTTACCCCACCCAATTACAATTACCTTTTCTCTTTCCCTTTTGTTTCTTCTTTTCCTGGTTGTTAGAATCTTCTACTGTTGAAAGTAAGGCACGACGTTAACGTAAGTTGGTATTTATGGCCTCATGGTCATTAGCCTTAAAAACGTTTAACTACTTCGGCATGCGTTATACAGGTATTTCGTAGGACAGCACATTTTATGACATAACAATACAGTAACCACAATGACGCCAATTAATTGATTCACTATATTATATGTCAAAGAAGGTTTAAAATGTCGGCGTGTAATCTCGAAAAATGTAAGTGATCAAAACCCATAGCGAACCCAACCCAAACCGACAGGAGCTTAATCACAAAAGTCTGGTGTGACTGTACCTAACAAATGAAATGAAACCCTGCAAATTAGGGCTGTTAACATAACCCGGGTCGATCAAACAGCGAAAAAATACGATAGTGAGGATCCATAGTTGGCTTTACCTTGAGTTGCAGCTCGTAGTAACAATTCGTCATCCAACTCCTAGAGACAGATATATGCATTATTTAAATTACACTGTACACCACTACACCGCAAATGCTAGGTAAATAATTATTAACATTCTTGCTAGCAAGAAACATGAGTGTCTTAAGTGTATATATTAATACTGAAACTAGTTGCAGAATTAAAATGTAGACATTCTAAGGCCCGGTTCAGACGCCCATCTTTTCACGAGGCGAACCTAATACAATGAATTAAGTACATGAACAGTTCGACGTCTGAACCAATTCAGGCGGTCTAAATTGTTTGGATCGACCTTAATTCGAATTAGGAACTCGGCTCACGAAAAGTTCGGCGTCCCAACCGGACCTAATCATTACTAATTTTGATCTCTTAAATTGTTTTGACTAAAATTATGAGTGTTCTGATCTGTCAAGGAAAAAAATAAAAACGAAAAAAGAATAAGAAAAGAGGATGACCCACTAGGATTATCGTTAGTCAGTCAGAGATACTCGAGGAATAGATATTAATTTGTATTACTATGAAGTATGTTTACCATTTTCTCTCTTTCTTCTGCATCAATATACTCTTCTTCACGATCTTAAGAAAACAAAAAATGAAATATTTTAATGGCTTGGACCGGCTGAGGTTATGTACACATTACTGAAATAGGACTGTTCAACCAGTAAACCATCTTCAGTCTCGACCAACCAAACAAGCACCAACAACAAACTATGAAACACCAACAACAAACTAAGAAACTAAAGAAACAACAAACTGTGAAACTAAGCAAAGCGTTACCTTCGCTTTTCTTTATGTCATTTTCCTCTGAAGTTCAAGCAGAACCCTGTAGGTTAACAACGATATATATTTCGAACTTCAATAATTTTGCACATAATAAGCCTAATGAACAAGCTAACTCTGATATAAGGGTTGTGTTTTCCAGAATTTGGTACATCTGACATACTGTACAAAAATTGTTCTTCACTTTTGAAGTATTAATCAATATTTTCTTTTACTGAAAAGATAAAATCAATAAAATAGGTAATTTATTCCCAAACTCTACCATTCTGGCTGGAATTCAATTTGAAAATGTCAGGTTTTGAGGAGAGGGAAAATCGCAAAATGGCATTGGAGCTCAAGGCTTTGAATTCCGGCCACAATCAGTGATGGGAGGCGAATGTTCTCACCACTGCACCACCCATACTCCCAGTACAATACCACTGTACAGAGAATATTATACAAAATAATATCACCTCTGCCTCTCCTATAGGCCTCCTCGGGGTTCTTGCACTTGACGCTTTAGTTGAAAAAAAAAATATCTTGATTAAAACATATCAGCCCACTATTAGCGAAAAGCGCCAGCTTTGAAAATCAAGACAATGGCATATGTATGGCTATGTATGTCTATGTATAGCTATATTTAAGCAACAGAAAACGTTTTCTGTTGGCATAGTTCCAAACACAGGAAATAAGCTTTCCATTGCTTTTATAAAATAACTTTCCTGAGAAAAAACACAACACTGTTTGTACGGCACTGATTAAAAGATAAATTCCAACCAGTCGCAAAGTCTTGTCCACAAAGTGTTGTGCACGTGTAACTAGTTATGGTTATGGAGGTCTGTGTAGGGCTATGTAGGGCTATGTATGGCTGTGTATGGCTATGTATGGCTATGTAGGGCTATGTAGGGGTATGTAGGGCTGTGTATGGCTATGTAGGGCTGTGTAGGGCTGTTTAGGGCTATGTAGGGCTGTGTGTATGTGTGTAGGGCTGTATGGCTATGTGGGGCTATGTATGGGGTATGGCTGTATAGCTATGTAGGGGCTATGTAGGGCTATGTAGGGCTATGTAGGGCTGTGTATGGCTGTGTATGGCTGTGTGGGGCTATGTATGTAGGGCTATGTGGCTGTGTGGCTGTGTATGGCTGTGTGTAGCTATGTATGGCTGTGTAGGGCTATGTATGGCTGTGTATGCTGTGTATCTATGTAGGGGCTATGTATGGCTATATGTATGGCTATGTATGGCTATGTGCGCTATGGCTGTGTATGGCTATGTATGGCTGTGTATGGCTATGTATGGCTGTGTATAGCTGTGTATATCTGTGTATGGCTATGTATGGCTATGTATAGCTATGTATGGCTATGTATAGCTATGTATGGCTATGTATGGCTATGTATGGCTGTGTATGGCTGTGTATGGCTGTGTATCTGGCTGTGTATATCTGTGTATGGCTGTGTAGGGCTATGTATGCTATGTATGGCTATGTATCTATGTATGGCTATGTATCTATGTATGGCTATGTATCTATGTAGGGCTATGTATGTATGTATATGGCTATGTAGGGCTATGTATCTATGTGTATATGTATGGCTATGTATGGCTATATGTATGGCTATGTAGGGCTATGTATAGCTATGTAGGGCTGTATGGCTATGTATCTATAACTATGTATGGCTATGTAGGGCTATGTATCTATGTATAGCTATGTATGGCTATGTATATATAGGGTTATGTATAGTTATGTAGGAGCTATGTATATCTGGTATATCTATGTATGGCTGTATGGCTATGCTATGTATATATGTGTATCTGTGTATAGCTATGTAGGGCTATGTAGGGCTGTGTAGGGCTATGTATCTATGCTATGTATGGCTATGTATGGGCTATGTAGGGCTATGTATGGGCTATGTATGTAGGCTATGTAGGGCTGTATATGGCTGTATAGGGCTATGTATGGCTATGTGTATGGCTATGTATGGTTATGTAGGGCTATGTATATGGCTATGTATGGCTATGTATATCTATGTAGGGAGCTATGTATAGCTATATAGGGCTATGTAGGGCTATGTAGGGCTGTGTAGCTATGTAGGGCTATGTAGGGCTATGTATGGGCTATGTAAAGGCTATGTATGGCTATGTATCTGTGGGCTATGTATGGCTATGTATGGCTATGTAGGGCTATGTATGGCTATGTAGGGCTATGTATATCTATGTATGTATGGCTATGTATGGCTATGTAGGGCTATGTATATGTGTAGGGCTATGTATCTATATGTATCTATGTAGGGCTATGTGGGGCTATGTATGTATGTATATGGCTATGTAGGGCTATGTAGGGCTATGTAGGGCTATGTATGGCTATGCTATGTATATGCTATGTAGGGCTATGTATGGCTGTGTAGGGCTATATGTATATCTATGTATGTAGGGCTATGTAGGGCTATGTAGGGCTATGTATGGCTATGTAGGGCTATGTAGGGCTATGTAGGGCTATGTAGGGCTGTGTAGGGCTATGTAGGGCTATGTAGGGCTATGTATGGCTATGTAGGGCTATGTAGGGCTATGTATGGCTATGTAGGGCTATGTATGGCTATGTAGGGCTATGTAGGGCTATGTATGGCTATGTAGGGCTATGTAGGGCTATGTAGGGCTATGTAGGGCTATGTATGGCTATGTAGGGCTATGTAGGGCTATGTATGGCTATGTATGGCTATGTAGGGCTGTGTATGGCTATGTAGGGCTGTGTAGGGCTATGTAGGGCTATGTAGGGCTATGTATGGGCTATGTAGGGCTATGTATGGCTATGTAGGGCTATGTAGGGCTATGTATGGCTATGTATGGCTATGTAGGGCTATGTATGGCTATGTAGGGCTATGTATGGCTATGTAGGGCTATGTAGGGCTATGTAGGGCTATGTAGGGCTATGTATGGCTATGTAGGGCTATGTAGGGCTATGTAGGGCTATGTATGGCTATGTAGGGCTATGTATGGCTATGTAGGGCTATGTATGGCTATGTAGGGCTATGTATGGTTATGTAGGGCTATGTATGGCTGTGTATGGCTATGTATAGCTGTGTAGGGCTGTGTATAGCTATGTAGGGCTGTGTGTAGCTATGTAGGGCTGTGTAGGGCTGTGTAGGGCTATGTATAGCTATGTGGGGCTATGTATGGCTATGTATGGCTATGTATAGGCTATGTATAGCTATGTAGCTATATGTATCTATATAGTATGTAGGAGCTGTATAGCTATGTAGGGCTATGTATAGCTATGTATAGCTATGTATGGTTATGTAGGGCTATGTATGGCTGTGTAAGCTATGTAGGGCTATGTATCTGTGTATGGCTATGTATGGCTATGTAGGGCTATGTAGGGGCTATGTATAGGGCTATGTAGGGCTATGTAGGGCTATGTATAATAGCTATGTAGGGCTATGTAGGCTATGTAGCTATGTAGGGCTATGTATCTCTATGTATGGCTATGTAGGGCTATGTAGGGCTATGTAAGGCTATGTATGGCTATGTATGGCTATGTAGGGCTATGTAAGGGCTATGTAGGGCTATGTATGGCTATGTAGGGCTATGTATGGCTATGTAGGGCTATGTATGGCTATGTAGGGCTATGTAGGGCTATGTGTAGGGCTATGTATGCTATGTATGGCTATGTAGGGCTATGTATGGCTATGTAGGGCTATGTATGGGCTATGTAGGGCTATGTAGGGCTATGTAGGGCTATGTATGGCTATGTAGGGCTATGTAGGGCTATGTATGGCTATGTAGGGCTATGTATGGCTATGTATGGCTATGTAGGGGCTATGTAGGGCTATGTAGGGCTGTGTATGGCTATGTAGGGCTATGTATGGCTATGTAGGGCTATGTATGGCTATGTAGGGCTATGTATGGCTATGTAGGGCTATGTAGGGCTATGTAGGGCTATGTATGGCTATGTAGGGCTATGTATGGCTATGTTTGGCTATGTATGGCTATGTAGGGCTATGTATGGCTATGTATGGCTATGTAGGGCTATGTAGGGCTATGTATGGCTATGTATGGCTATGTAGGGCTATGTAGGGCTATGTAGGGCTATGTATGGCTATGTAGGGCTATGTAGGGCTATGTATGGCTATGTAGGGCTATGTAGGGCTATGTATGGCTATGTATGGCTATGTAGGGCTATGTAGGGCTATGTATGGCTATGTATGGCTATGTAGGGCTATGTAGGGCTATGTATGGCTATGTATGGCTATGTAGGGCTATGTAGGGCTATGTATGGCTATGTAGGGCTATGTAGGGCTATGTAGGGCTATGTATGGCTATGTAGGGCTATGTAGGGCTATGTAGGGCTTTGTATAGCTGTGTATTGCTATGTAGGGCTTTGTAGGGCTATGTATAGCTGTGTATGGTTATGTAGGGCTATGTAGGGCTATGTAGGGCTGTGTATGGCTATGTATGGCTATGTAGGGCTATGTATGGCTATGTAGGGCTATGTATGGCTATGTATGGCTGTGTATGGCTGTGTAGGGCTATGTATGGCTATGTAGGGCTGTGTAGGGCTATGTAGGGCTATGTATGGCTGTGTAGGGCTATGTATGGCTATGTAGGGCTATGTAGGGCTATGTATGGCTATGTAGGGCTATGTATGGCTATGTAGGGCTATGTAGGGCTATGTATGGCTATGTAGGGCTATGTAGGGCTATGTATGGCTATGTAGGGCTATGTAAAGGCTATGTAGGGCTATGTAGGGCTATGTAGGGCTATGTATGGCTATGTGTATGCTGTAGGGCTATGTAGGGCTATATGGGGCTATGTAGGGCTATGTATGGCTATGTATAGCTATGTAGGGCTATGTAGGGCTATGTAGGGCTATGGGCTATGTAGGAGCTATGTATGGTTATGTAGGCTATGTATGGCTATGTAGGGCTATGTGGGGCTATGTAGGGCTATGTAGGAGCTATATGTGTAGGGCTGTGTAGGGGCTATGTAGGGCTATGTAGGGCTATGTATGGCTATGTAGGGCTATGTAGGGCTGTGTGGGCTATGTATGGCTATATGGGGCTGTGTAGGGCTGTGTAGGGCTATGTAGGGCTATGTAGGGCTATGTGTAGCTATGTATGCTATGGGGCTATGTAGGGCTATGTAGGAGGGCTATGTAGGGCTATGTAGGGCTGTGTAGGGCTATGTAGGGCTATGTAGGGCTGTGTAGGGCTATGTAGGGCTATGTAGGGCTATGTAGGGCTATGTAGGGCTATGTAGGGCTATGTAGGGGCTATGGGCTATGTATGGCTATGTAGGGCTATGTATGGCTATTTAGGGCTATGGGGCTATGTATTATGTAGGAGCTATGTATGGCTGTGTAGGGCTATGTAGGGCTATGTGTAGGGCTATGTATGTAGGGCTATGTAGGGCTATGTAGGGCTGTGTAGGGCTGTGTAGGGCTGTGTAGGGCTATGTATGGCTATGTAGGGCTATGTAGGGCTATGTATGGCTATGTAGGGCTATGTATGGTTATGTAGGGCTATGTAGGGCAATGTAGGGCTGTGTAGGGCTGTGTAGGGTTATGTAGGGTTATGTAGGGCTATGTAGGGCTATGTATGGCTATGTAGGGCTATGTATGGTTATGTAGGGCTATGTAGGGCTATGTATGGCTATGTAGGGCTATGTAGGGCTATGTATGGCTATGTAGGGCTATGTATGGTTATGTAGGGCTATGTATGGTTATGTAGGGCTATGTAGGGCTATGTAGGGCTATGTAGGGCTATGTAGGGATATGTAGGGCTGTGTATGGCTGTGTATGGCTATGTATGGCTGTGTATGGTTATGTAGGGCTGTGTATGGCTATGTAGGGCTATGTGGGATTATGTAGACTGCTTCTAGTAACTTACGGGGAACCACTATATGATGCTTACACCACGTACCTACCTCATGGACAGGAGTTTTTTTTAAGTTCTCCGCTGAAAAGGTATTCATTCTCAACTGATGGCAGGCTCATTTCTTTGCGATGGTTACAAAATAATTGTTTGAAGTAAATGTAATAGTTACATGAGATTCGTCTTTAGCCTCGGCTAAATCTTTATATTGACTCAATTAAAGTATCATTGTTTTCTAAAACCATAAGACAACTTTGAAAAGAAAGTGTCGCTAGGTGGCTTTTAATTAGTTGGATGTCCTATTTTGTCTGTAGAAGTGCTTCTTTATAAAACTTTCGGCTTTTAAAATATTGCAGAACCGTTTGTAAATATAGTTGTTAATCATTCTAGGACAAGAAGCAGGTCCTGACCCATACGGAGAGAGCCGAGAAGGCAAAAGTAAGTTCAGTGAGATATGTATTGAAAGATTGGAAAATGCCAAATTGATAACCGGCTGAGTTTGATTAGTGTACAAGTCGTTACCATTCTGGCATTTTTGGCAGGCCAGGAGTTTATTTTGAATTGCAGCGTAACGAACCCTTTCACAGTAGGACACCCAGGGGGACGTTTGCTTAGGTCTGAGTTAATATCTCCAGTATCCAAACAGATACAAATAATATAGTTTTCGAATGGACCGACATTTACCAGTGAATCTCGGTAAAGGTTGTTATGTCATAACAAATAACCGAGAGGATGGTTTGTAGACTGGTGGAATTGGATTTTATCAACTGGTGTGATTTAAATTGATCCTTTCTTAATTACTGTCTCGTTACTCGATATGTTTTTAATCAGGCGTCGAGAGGCTCTCTACACAAGGCTGCTGTCAGTGGAGAGTACAAGACAGTCAAAATGCTTCTTGAAAGTGGTGAAGATGTGGATCAAAGAGATCAGGTTTTAGTCTTCTCCAGTTTATGTAAATTTTGTGCGAAGCCTCAAGCCCGACTTCTCGCTTTCGCTTGGCTTGGGGATTCTTACTTTCTTTAATTAAAGAATAAGATAATGAAATTAAATCTTGCGCTAATGTTTCCTTAAAGGCTAGTTTTCTCTAGCGATCGAATCGAAGTTGTAATCAGAATAGAACTTTACGGTCTAGTGAAATCACCGCTCTGATTCCGTTTACGACTCCGTCACTTACGATCAAGTGAAAACTAGGCCGTCGGAGTGGCAAGCGGAAGCAGAAGAACTAAGCCAATCACAAAGCGTGGGAACGTCATTGTGATTGGTTTACCCTTCCACTTCTGCTTCAGACTCCTACATCTGGTTTTCACTTTATCATAAGCGACGGAGTTTTTGGCGGAATCGGAAGAAAATGGAAACTTTCTGATTCTTCCGACTCCGATTCCGTCGCTCTTAAGACTTCGCTTACGATTCCGATTCCGACTCCGTCGCTAGTGAAAACCAGCCTTAAATAGTGATTTATCCGGTGGATAACGGTATCCACCTTTTCGACAACTCGGCCCAGGACTACTGTTACTCGGGTGATCGTAAACTGTGAAGTTATAGAGGAAATGTTGCTAGAACCAATTACGTGCTCAACATGAAATGTCTGAGGCTAAGCGCTGTAGAGAATTTATTTAGTTGTCTGTTTTGTTTGTTGTTGTTGTTGTCGGTGTTGGTTTTATTGTTTCTTACGATGGTAACCTGAGGATGTTCTGGACGGTATTCAGGTTTCTGAATTTAATAAAAGAATTGGTCTAGACTACCAATTTCTGCTACAAAGTGACCTACAAACATTGCATTTGGGCTCAGTTAGAGTGTTCCACTTGGTTTGTTTCAAATAAACTAAAGAGGATAGAGTAAAGACGTTTTGGCTTTATTCTTGGCTTGGTCGTAAAAATTAGTCCAATAACAGCCTCTAAGGTTATTTTGCAACGCCATCTTTATAAACGGAACTAGCTGGCTTCTCAGTGTCCAGGCTATCTAACGGCGTTGTATTTTTCTATTTTCGGTAGTTTTTTCTGACCCCTCTTCATCTTGCCTGTTGGTACGGACAGGAGTCTGTTGTTAAACTTTTGTTGAAACATGGTGCAAACGTCAACGCTGAAGACGGGGTGAGTTTTGCAAGCGTTTTATACATTGTAAGTTAAACAATATATATTGCCAGGAGACCATGAAGGTCTACAGTCAACGTAGCTTACTACAACTAGTTGACAACCACGGGACTGTTACTTTTGTGAATATCTTATTATGCAGTTCCTTCAGGAATTTTCAGAGATCTTTTTGCAACAATGCTCGGGGTTCCTTTACCAGACTTCTTTTGGTGCAGTTTGCAGGTAATGAACAGAAGCAATAAGCTATGAATATCCCCTGTTAGTTTATGTGTAATACATAATGGCCTGGGACCAGGCTCTGAAGTCGGGGGAAAGCGAGGAAAATCGGCGAGCGAAGCGAGCGAGAGGGTCTGGGGAGGGATAAAGATGAAGGAGCTCGGCTGCCTTCCCCCCTCCCCAGTCCACCACTCGGCTTGCTTGGCTTGCCGATTTTTTGCTGTTTCATCCCGTTTTTGCTTATTCCCTCCACTACGGAGCCTGGTCCCAACTGAGCTAATGTTATATAATGGTTTTACAATAAAGATCAATTTAGAAGTACAGGAGACTCAAAAATGGAAGGTGTAGCTGCAAAAAGACTGGTTCCAGCCACCTTGATGCAATTTTCTTTATGGTGGTAGCTACCTTATGTAGACATACCTTAAATGACCCAATAAATGCTCGGGGCGTCTATTTAATTTGAAGAGTCCAGGCGGGGGCGTTTAATGAGATAGGAGGCGTTTAAAAAAGAGAGCCGTTTATTCTCATAACTGTAACAAGCTCAACAAAACTAGTATGCTTTCGGCGAAAACATTAAAAGAGTTAAAAAGGAATTCAATATCCACTCAATCAATAAATTGATACGTTTGGGCCATCTAGAGATTATATATCTCTCTTTCAAATCGCACCCATTTATATCTATCAATTGATCATTCTAGGCCGTGTAGAGATCCATATCGCTCTTTTAATTCCGGCCAACATCGATGTCCGAATCCTCCCTCAGGGTATTATGTTGTCATCATTAGTCTATCCTTACTTTTAACTTGACATTGAACAAGATGAAATACGCAAAGGCTCGTTAATCAAGAAAGAAACTGAATAATTTGAATTTTTTTGCACTTTCTTGCTAATTCCTAGTATTTGGAGTCATTCTCATAGAGGGCATCTATTAAACAGGGGGTGTTTATTACAGAGGAGAGTTTAATACAAATTTAACAGCATGGAGGAGGCGTTTATTAGATAAGAGGCGCTTATTTGGAAATGGGCGTTTATTACGTCATTCACGGTACCGGTAGTTAGAATATTTTCCTTGGTAAATAGCGAGTGGTGAGTAATACGTATTACCTTACTTGTAATTTTTTTAGTTTCAACGTACACCTCTGCAAAAAGCTGAACGTCAAAACCACCACTCCATTGTGCAGTTGCTGCTGAAGAATGATGCCAGACTAAGTCTTCATCAACCAGTAAGATATCAGATTGTACTTACTTCTTGCCAACCTGGTTTTTCAGATGAAATTCGCTTACATTTGTTGTATTCTTTGTTGATAATGTGGAACGTTACTGTAGGACCTAAAACGCCAATCCAGAGATCACAGTATAGTGAATCTTATATTAAAAGTACACCATATTAAGCGGTTGAGTGGCTCAGTTTTTCTCAAACGTTTTTTTACTTCGAGCTTACCGTAAAACAAACCCATTAATAGTGGAAACCAGCAAAGGTCGCTTATCTGTCCGGTTAATACCGGTTTCATCGTACATTTTATTTCTAAGTTGTTAATGTCTACGGTTCTGGCGTTTCGTTTATACGCGTAAGATCTTTAAATTGTTTTGGAGACACTGGGGAAATATGACTACCCTATTCGATAGTCAGTTGCTTGTTGAGGCATTTAACAAAAAAACGTTACTCGACGTTTCGATGTATCACAGTGAGAAATGTTAAATTTTAAACACTATTATTTAGAAAATGCATCTCAACTTTAACTATTAGACTTAGTAAGTGAGTAAGCAAGTAACTTTATTTAATCAGGGTAGCCCGTTCAGCAACGAGGCTGGTATCCATAGGGGCCCTGACAAATAAAAAAGTATACTATTTAAAAATTCCTAAGGTATATACAAGATTAAAATAAACACATTGTATTCATTGTAAAATATTGCGTAAGATACTTGGGTACTAGATTATTTAAACACTTAAAAATTAGAATGCATTTATGAAAGCTAGATTTAACCAGTTTAGCACACAGAAAGTTTCATTTGAGGTGTTCTTCCGTAATATAATTCGAGCTGCACGGTTCTATAGGCGGTGTAACTCTTTGCAACACCCTTCTGAGATTTCCCCCACGCAACATCAGCATAGTCAAATAATGGCTGCAAGAGTGATGTGTATACTGTTTACAGGCTTCCAGCGTGAGACATGATCGTTTACGAGACAAAAGCCCTAGCCTCCTACTGACTTTGCTGCTTACATACTCGACGTGATCTTTCCAAGAAAGGTTCTCATCTAAAACAACACCTAAATAGCTAAATTCAGCTACTCTTTCTAAAGTCTTTCGGTATAACTGTATACAAACATTTGGTGATTTGGCAAGATTCTTCCAACTTCCAAAGAGCATTGATTTTGTTTTACTCTGATTAAGGGTAAGCCTGCTACTTTCCATCGACTGTACAACTCCGTTTAAATCATCCTGTACTACCCTAGCTATCTCCGAGGTGCAAAGATTCGTAAAATACATTACAGTATCATCGGCACACATATTAATAGAACAGTTTTCTAAACACTGGGGCAGGTCAGTAATGTATAAGACAAAAAGCAGAGGCCCCAAAATTGAACCCTGGGGACGCCAAAACGGATTGCTCGTGTTGAGGACGTGTCGTTTCCAAATTGCACTCTTTGAGTTCGTGTGGTAAGATAGTTCCGGAACCAGTCCAGACTACTTCCTCTGACTCCGTAGTGTTCTAGCTTAAAAAGCAAACATTCATGGTCGACCAAGTCGAAAGCTTTTTTCAAGTCAATAAACACAGCTCCTGTAATCATTTGCCTATCCATGTGTTCCAAAATATAATCAGTGAGGTAAACTACCGCAGTTTCGGTAGAGTGCTTATTTCGAAAACCCGACTTGCTGTTAAACAATAAAAATGTAAGCAATGGAAATGCAATGGAAATTTTAGCTTGATCTAGTTTACTCTTACCACCCAGTTTGATTTATGCATAAAATTAAGGGGATGCTCTTCAGCGGTGACTGTATGATGAGTTAACTAGGGCATATTTTATCGGTATGTTATGTTGGGTATCATAAAGACTCATTTATTAGTTGTTTAGAGCTACACTTTCGTATACAAGTTCGACGTTAAAAATAGTCATCAACATAAACCGTCTCCTGACGTGAATTCGATGTAAAGCGGATGTTCCATTTTGGTGCAACATTTCTTTAATGAAAGTATGTTTAATTAGAATTTTTGATAGGTGACAAAGCCTTGTTTGAGTTGCGCACTTTGTTCAGTTTAACATTTTTGACCTCTATTTGGCCATCTGTCCATATTTTCCAGGCAATGAGTACCTTAATCGTTTTTAACCATTTTTGGCCTGTTTTCATGACGTTTCACCCGAATTCATGTCGGTAGATAATTTTAATTAGATTTAAGTGATTTTACAGGTGTTTTTGTAAATTCTGCTTTGCACTGTGGAATGCATGTTGAATTTGCCCTTTGAATTTTTCGGTCACGTCTGAAGTTAATTTATTGAAAATTTTTAGCCAGTCATTTTCGATGTAAAGGCTTAGCACCCTCTGTAAATGGACAAAAACCTTAGAGTTTTAAACTGTACATTTGTTTTTTCCCCTTCTGTTATTATCAAAACCTTGTATACAAGCAGTTAAATTGTAATTTTTTATATTGGTCACCTCGTTTTATATTGACACAACCCAAGCTTCATGGCGAAAATTCAGGTTAAAAGATCACTTCGGCGAAGCAATTATCTCGAAGGTTCAATGCAAATGCGTTTTCTTAAACCAATCACAGAAGAGTTGCTTAAGCATTAATTTGAGTTAGGAGGATGGGTTGCTGGGTGGTATAAAATCCGGGAGTGCCAACGATATTTGGAGAGTGCGTTCCTGATACTGCAATGTGAATATGTATGAAGATTTATTGAAGATTAAAGAAAGTTTAAAGAAAGAAAGTAACTACTCATTTGTTGAAGAAGAACCAGCTAGTTCTCCATAAAAGGTTCTTTCAACATTACAAGCAAATCCGTGCCCCCACCGCTGTATTAAAGTTACCGTGAGGAGAGTTACATCTGCCCACCTCCAGTGGATTTTTTGCTGTGTTGCAGGATTTGCAAAGAGTTAAAAATGTATTACACTGTATAGAGCCTGGGATGAGCTTTTCAATGCAATCTCGATATTATGGGATGTGGCTTTCGCTGTGAGAACCCAGTCAGTGGCGTCATTCAAAATACCTCCACATTGATACCCGCCATCAAAATTCTGAAACTTCCGCAAATGGAACAAAAATTAACTGAGACTTTTGTCCTCAACGACATTTTATTTGCAATTTGCTGACACTGTCGTCTTCAAAAATAGAAAAAGCAATCATTCCCTCCCCTACCCACTAAGCAATGTTGTCCCGCTGATCAGGTTAGCTTAGGAAACAATAAACACGTCAACATTGGTTGAGAGGGAGGAGGAAGGGTCCGGAATGTCTTGGTTTCAAAACTCTATCCCATCTGACAGCTTGACAATTCTCACATCAGTTTTGTTGTGTGTTCGAGCCATTTTCATGCTTTTCACGACAAATTCACCAAAGCATGAACACCAGAGAGCTTTTGGAAATGTTCATTTTCCTGGGATCAATCGCATTAGAGATAAAGAAAAGTTTGCGAGCCGCAAACCACAAATTAACAATGGTTGCAACTTCCAGAACAAGTTTCCCACTTTTCGTTGGCCTTTTCCCTCGACGCAAGACATTGTAGAAGTAATTTCGGAGTTGATAGTTTTCTGAGAATAATAATCATAATAAAAATAATTAAGATTTGTAACGCCCTGGTTCCATACAAATTCTCTGAATTTCATAGTTATTATTAAAAAAATTGTGCGAAAAACTCACTTTTCAGCTTTTAAATAGCTTGCCCTTTTGTCACTGATGAGGCCATATATTGTAACCATAATAACCAAACACCGTCCCATTTTGTCTAAAATGAGTATATTTGCAGTAGCGGAACTCCCGTAATATATTATCTGCATTAGTTAGCAATTAACGAATGAGGCTGATCTCGGAGGGTGTTATCCACCGAGGCCGAAGGCTGAGCTGGATAACACCCTCCGAGATCTGCTTAATTCTTCATATCCTACGAAAGCCGAATTCATTAACTGCTTTATTCTTCATTCAAAATAATTCCTAGTTTAAAAACATAGCTGAAACATGCTTACCTGCATCGATGTTAAATTCATCTTCGATAGTGTACGTTTAGGTTTGTCCAGCTCCGCAAATATTCTACAAATAGCAGATGTCGCCCTCCGAGTTCTCTTCTTGCTGTTTTTGCCACGTTTTAGCTATTATTTCGCCTAGTTCCAGCTGTAGTTCTTCCTCGTGAAACGAGTGAAATGTCCGCCCTTTTTTTTTCACAACCAAAACAACTCAACCTCGTCCCCAGGTCATCTCGGTAACGGTGCCTTAACCTGTAGCGGGCTGCATTTTTGACGTAATTTCCTCGTTAAACATAGCCTACGAAAACATCCGTTTCTCCTCGCTCTTCGGCGCCGGGGACGTTTCGCGAGGAGGAACGTCTGCGACTCAGCGGCAGAAATTCCATACTGATGACGCAAACCAATGTTTACATAATAAATCCAGTAGTCATGGGGTTCTCAAATACAAAGTTGTCCAATTTTACCTGTCTTCTGGTCGATTTTGGTAAAGTGATGTTCATCTGCCAAAGAGCTCCAGCAAAACTCAAATACTTCTTCTAGAAAAGACTATATTCCACAAATATTGACTATTTTGTTTGAGATTCTTCGCGTTTGCATTTGACCTTTGTGGCCTTTTGTCTTTTGTCTGTCATTCGTAAACAATAGCTAAAACAATGTAACTACTCCATCGAACAATCAGCGCTTCTGACCGGATTCCGGACAGATTTTACGTCATCAGTATGGAATTTCTGTCGCTGAGTCGCAAACGTTCCTCCGCGCAAAACTTCCTCATCGACGAAGAGCGAGGAGAAACGGATGTTTTCGCAGGCTACGTTAAACACAAAATTCTTCCAAATTTGGTCATCAGCAACTGGTTACGGTGAATTATGCGTGTGCTTTTAGCCAATCACAATTGGGTAAATCTTTTGAATGAATGATAAGAATAGTTGAAAAGTAATGCCAAATGAATTCCCTCTTGATTATTTTCGCTCTTAAACATGATCATTTCCATTATACAGGTCAGTCTAAAGAATCTCTCTAGGAAAGCTTTCTTGCAAGTGGATGAAAAATCTGGTTTTACTCTGCTCCAGGCGGCTGTCTTTGAGGAAAAATACAACCTTGTTCTAGAAGCTAGTGGCCTTTTTGACAACTTTGTAGAAGAGATGGAACTTACAAAAACGGGAAAAAACGCCAAAGAATTTATAGGAAAAACGGCAGTTGACTTCTTGTCACTTAGAAAGACAACAAACCCATTTCATATTGATATCGAAAGGATTTATGACAAATTGGCTGAGCACAACAGCAGACTGACTGAGCTACCGTGGGGTACATGCGACGATAATGTGGAACAGGCAGTTGAACTTGTATTAAATAACGATGTAGATATTAATGCCTCAGGATCAGACAATGATTCCACAGCCTTGTTGCATGCCAGTCGGTCATCCTCAAGTCAGTTTATTGAGACCCTCATTGATCTTGGGGGCGACGTTAACGCCCAAAGGAGAAAAAGCAAAGAAACACCACTAATGTTAGCAGCTGACTGGAACAACTACATGGCAGCAAGCTTAATTCTAAGACATGGAGCTGATGTAAATGTCCATATTAGTAATGGGTTCACGCCACTGCACGTTTCAGTCAATAAAAGTCACGAAAACCTTGTCAGATTGTTACTTAAACACAACGCAAATGTGAATATTCAAACTACTTATGGATATACACCCCTTCGCCAGTCATTCTTAAAAGGTAACGAAAGCCTCTGTAGAATGTTACTTGAACACAAAGCGGATGTAAATATTCAAGATAAAGATGGATATACACCCTTGCACCGGTGTGCCTTAATGGGTAACGAAGACCTCTGTAGATTGTTATTTGAACACAACGCGGATGTAAATATTCAAGATAACCTTGGATATTCACCCTTGCACTGGTGTGCCTTCAAGGGTAACGAAAACCTCTCTAGATTGTTACTTGAACACAACGCGGATGTAAATGTTCAAGATAATAATGGATATTCACTCTTGCACTGGTGTGCCTTTAAGGGTTACGAAATCCTCTGTAGATTGTTACTTGAACACAACGCAGATGTAAATATTCAAGATAAAGATGGATATACACCCTTGCACCGGGGTGCCTTACTGGGTAACGAAGACCTCTGTGGATTGTTTTTTGAACACAATGCGGATGTAAATATTCAAGATAATCATGGACATTCACCCTTGCACTGGTGTGCCAGAGAGGGTAACGAAAACCTCTGTAGATTGCTACTTGAGCACAACGCAGATGTACATATTCAAGATAATCATGGATATACAGCCTTGCACTGGTGTGCCTTCAAGGGTAACGAATACCTCTGTAGATTGTTACTTGAACACAACGTGGGTGTAAATATTCAAGATAATCATGGATATTCACCCTTGCTCTGGTGTACCTTCAGGGGTAACGAAAACCTCTGTAGATTGTTACTTGAACACAGTGCGGATGTAAATGTTCAAGATAATCATGGATATACACCCTTGCTTTGGTGTGCCTTAATGGGTAACGAAGAGCTCTGTAGACTGATACTTGAACACAACGCTGGTGTAAATATTCAAGATAAAGATGGATATACACCCTTGCACTGGTGTGCCAGAGAGGGTAACGAAAACCTGTGTAGATTGTTACTTGAACACAACGCGGATGTAAATATTCAAGATAATCTTGGACATACACCCTTGCACTTGGGTACCATAGAGGGTAACGAAAACCTATGTAGATTGTTACTTGAACACGACGCGGATGTAAATATTCAAGATGATGATGGATATACACCCTTGCACTTGTGTGCCTTAATGGGGAACGCAAACGTCTGTATATTATTACTTGAACACAACGCAAATGTAAATACTCAAGATGAAGATGGATATACACCTTTGCACTGGTGTGCCAGAGAGGACAACCAAAACCTCTGTAGATTGTTACTTGAACATAACGCGGATGTAAATACTCAAGATGAGGACGGATATACACCCTTGCACTGGTGTGTCTTAACGGGGAACGAAAGCCTCTGTAGATTCTTACTTGACCAAAACGCGGATGTAAACATTGAAGATAATCATGGACATACACCCTTGCACTGGAGTACTAGAAACGGTAACGGAAACCTCTGTAGATTGTTGCTTGAACACAACGCGGATGTTAATATTCAAGATAAAGGAACACCTTTCAGCTTTTAACAGCAGTTGCATTAGGATAATCGATCTCCTGGTGAAATATAGGGGTGCAAAATATCAACATCTGTAACGCAGAAGGCATGGATAACTGAGCGTTTTAGGCGAGGCTTCTTCCCTAGTACCATTCTAATGGAAAACGCAACATCTTTTTGAAGTTAATGTAATTCTTAGTCTACGGTTTGTACTCAGGTTAGTATAATTCTAGTTAAGTATGACTCAACCATATTCTTGTGGGTTTTACAATTTTTAATTATATTGTTAACTCCAGTCCCAAAAAGGTTTTTGTATTTTTCTGCAATTTCCATAACAAAGCAAAGGAGGTTTGTATCAAAACAAGGTCACCATCAGTCTCACATTCACTCGAAGGCTAGGGTACTAAGTCCACAACTGTAAAATAGCCTATTCATGATTATGATTATGATTATGATTATGATTATGTTTATTATTATTATCTATTTTTAAATAATAATATAAAGTAAGTGTTTTATTTTAAACGAAAGGGATTGTAAGTAGTGTTTTGACGGAATAGTTTTTTTTAAGTTAATTGTAAAAAAATATATTATTATTATTATTATTAGTATCATAATAATACAAAACTTTATTCATAGATTTAAAAAATAGACTATTTACAGATTCAAGAATATGAAATATTAAAATATATACCCTATGTACATTCTTCTTGTGTACGAAAGAGAATTGTCGTAAAATGACTATCTAAAGACTACTAATAACAATTATAAAAAGCATCAAAAAGTTAATTAAAAAAAAATAAAAACTATTTAAAAATAATAATAATAATAATAATAATAATCATTATTATTATTATTATTATTATTATTATTATCACTGTAGCTGGTCTACATCTGCACTCATCATTTTAGGCCTAGATTTTTGAGAGTTTTTTTTTCTTAGTAATGCTTAATTTTTCTTTTCCCACTTTTAAATTATTCACAATAGTTTTTCTATCGTGGACGTATATTTAGTTTTTCAATTTGTAAACAATACGATATAGTTTAAAATTGTAAATATTACTTATTGTTCTGATACTTGAAATACTTTTTCTATTTGTTATTAGTAGTCTTTAGATAGTTAAAAAAAAATTATTATTATTATTATTATTATTATTATTATTATTATTATTATTTCTTGTTATTACCAGGCTGCCTCAAGTTACGCCCAGTCATAAATCACCTTCCGTTCGGTCGTCCCCGTAATATTTGGACACTTACATACGGGCATTGTTAATTGTTGACCAAGTTTAACCAAGAAGGCGTTGCTTCTTTCGACATAGTTTCCCATTTCAGGGTAAAGAAGACTCAGACGACGGAATTTACATATCGCGAATTTCGCACAAAAGGGACTGTGCAGTAATTATCTGGAAGGGGGGTCTGAAATGAGCAAAGTAGGCCTTTGAGTGAAGTTACGCCCCGCTGTACTAGATGTAAAATAACTTCTAATCCCCCCCTTTTAAGATAAAATCACTACCAACCCCCCTCCCCCCCGCATCACATCCGATCTTTGGGAGGAACTTTATACCCCTGTTTACCGAATTTTAAATTACCTTTGCGTATTTACCTGAGCGATATCTTTGTCAAAGAAAAAATTACTTCAAAACTCCGCCCAATGTATCCATCTCCACTGGTTTCCCTTGATTTACCTGCAGACATGTTCTCCTCTTCTTCTTCGGTTTCTTCAGACATGTTTTCCTCATCTTCCCCATGATGCCTTTTAGTTTCAAATGTTCCATCTGCATGCTTATTGAGTACTCGTTCAATTAATAGGGCCTTGTTTCCAGATAGCTTAGCAGTTTGTTGTCGAAGATCTAGTTTAAGTTGCATATTGGTCAGCCTTTCGACGTGTTCTCTGTTCTCCCAGCATACATTTGTCATGTTAGTAATGTTTGTTTCGCTCGTTTGTGATTTATGTCAAACTACGTATACGTTGTGACATTTTTGTTATTGATTTGGTTAAAGAAGCCGTTATTAACACAGGCTATTTAGTTTGCGGATTATGCGTCATTTCAAAGTTTTTATTATTACAGGTTCTAGGTGTGTCATGTACTGTTCTTGATTTTCTTAGAAGTCATTCAATAACAAAGAAGTTTAGTTTGAATAAATTATGTACCACTTGGACATTAATATAACTTGTAACCCCCATCTATGCTTAAAAAAATTGACATCTACCGCCCCCTCCCACCCTGCACCATAATTTAACTTTAGGCCTCCTCCTCCATTACATTTAGAACCCCCACCGCCTCCAGATAATTATTGCACAGTCCCCAAGATCAATACCATGCGAAGCTGGCGGTTTCAGTTCGGCTAAAGGGCAAATGATCAGAGAAAGAAAAAATTAAAGGCAAAGGGTTTAAGAGCAAGGCAAGTCACTCACCAGTGCAGAGTTTGGTGACTTTGCTTCCTATAGCTTACAGTTGTTCTCAATGTGGTTCAGAGTTTTTGCTTTTGTTTGTACAGTCGACTCCCGATAACTCGAGGTTCGAGTTATTGGGAGTTCGACTTACCGGGAGCTCGAAGAAAATGGCCGAGAGTAAGGTAAAAAACAGTTTTCACTGCACAGTGAACATTTTAATCACATTTAATTGTAGAAATGTCAAGTAAAAATTAAAAGATACTTTTAGATTATAAATCAGAACGTAATGTAACAAAACATAGCCTAAATAGAGCATGCGTTTTACTGTTTTGAGAAGAAAAGCTGCTTCACGTTAGCCTGTGACAATCAACATCAGCCTCCACTAGTAAACTATACTCCTACAACAAGTCAATAGGAAATCCAAAATTCAATCTAGACGGCTTTTTTCCCGACTTTTTAAGGGCTCAAAACATGGTTCGAGTTATCGAGGGTAAAATTATATAGAAAATGACCTGAAGGGAAACGAAAATTGGTTCGAGTTATCGGGAGTTCGAGTTATCGAGGGTTCGAATTACCGAGGATAAAATTACAGTGAATGTATGACGGAAATCCAGGGGAAATCGATTTTGGTTCGAGTTAGCGCAAAGTTCGAGTAAGCGAGGGTTCGAGTTATTGGGAGTCGACTGTATCTGTATCTCGCCAAGCTTTTATCTGAATTAACTGTTTGTGCACTGACCTTGTTATGCTAATCTCCAAGGTCTGTGTCTTGGAGATCCCCTAGGAGGCAAACATGACTGTTCATCGCTCGCTTTATAGTTGATCACAATACGTACCTTTTGCTGAAGATGTAAACTAAAGCCATCGAAAATGGGAACTACTTAACGACTTATATCTTATATGTTTCTGAGTGCAGAGGTCCACTCAACCCGCAAATAAAACCGACTGGTTAGTCTTTCTTACTGGATCTTTAATGTAGAGATGCTAATGCCAGACGCCACTTGAAGTGGAAATTAAAACAAAACTGAATGCAAGGCTGGCAATATGGTAAAGGGATTATTCATTTTAAGGCAATATTTCGGCTAACAAAATTAGCCTCCCTCAGGGCCAGAGCTACACACTGAAAGGGAATACTACAACGGTTCCTAAAATTTTGATTTAGTCGTTGATATCTTCACCTCCTTCCCCCCCAACCCCCTTCCTTCTAAAGCATTTTTTGCCAAAATATTTGTGGGGATTTAATTTACAGCTAATATATTATTATATACAGAAAAAGATACACGAAATAACAAGTTAACCGCAACGATAACAAAACAAGTTTCAGTTTTTAAACATTTATACTTTTTTAGTACGCTTACGACAAAAAAACAGTGAAAGCAGCAACGTTAGTTTTGATTTACTTCGCTTAGCTTTTGGAAATCTCTCTAAAAGTAGTTTGACCACCGGAACCCCTCCCCGTCGGCTAATCCCACGTTGCAGCTCCAGCTGAAAATGGAAGCCAAAAGTCTACAGCATGAACAAGCCATCTACACTTGATCATCGGTTGCCACTAGAGACACTTTTGTGGGTAGTTTTCAATAGAAACTTTGGTGCTGTATTGGTTTGGGGGTGTGTGTGGTGGGGGGGGGGGGGGAGTTAAAGGCAGTTTACGGCCGTAAAAAAAAAGACGATTTTTCAAGAGTTAGCCCTTTATCAGAGCGAATCAAGGAATTTTTGGGTGAGTGGTCTGTTTATGGAATGGTTTAGTAAAGCCAAGTCATTGACGCAAAAGACAAGAACAAAATATCCGAACGAAAAGCGTACAATTATACATTTGTGGGGAAGGAAAAAAAATTTAAAAAAAGATGAATTGCTGGTCGTGATTTTTACGACTTCTCATGTTGCCCTGGTGTAGTGAGATGCCGCAGAATACGAGACATTCGCCCAGAAGAAATGGAAAGCAGTCTACTAACACTACACTGCATCTCTTTTTTTTGTCGTCATACAGGTGAGCTTTCTTTTTTGGGGGGGGGGGGGCGAGGGGATCTTTTCTTTTGGGAAGGAACTTCAGGGTTTTTTCCCAAATAATGAAAGAGGGTAATTTTGCAAGTGCGACGAGTATTGCGGCAGGGGTTTGGTTTTCATATTCAGATCACGTTGAGTATAGCCGGGGCTATAGATATCAAGGCACGATAAACACCTTTTTTCAAAACATGTTAGTATAACTGCCCTGGCCCCCGTTGTTCAAACGTGGGATAGCGCTATCCACTGGATAAAAATCTATCCACTGGATAACGTAATTGGTTTCCCAAGTACTTATCCGCTGGACAGTGATTTATCCGCTGGATAGCGCTATCCAACGTTTGAACAACCGGGGCCTGATCTTTTTTAGTTGCCCATCTATTCAATTTTATCCCACGTGTTTCGTGTGACTAACGTCTCAAACTTCATCAGGGAGTTCTACAACAAGATTCAGTATGTCTATATATACTTGAATCTCAAACAAACTATAGGCGCCAAAATCTTTCTCCACGCATAAAGTATTTCTAGCATGCGTTGCAGCCGGACTTGTCACTCAAGGCCCAGATATATGGAACTTGGACTGTCTGCTTCCAGGCGAAGTATTTCGCGCCTTGCAAAAAAATTTCCCGCACGCATCA